CTAAATTGTATTTTTTTTAATTTCATCGCAGAAAATTTTAAATTTTACAAGTTGACTATGTAAGTAAATGAAATTAACAATTCAACTCATGAAATTTAAAATCGTAAAATAACACAAAGTTCTTTTATGTCAATAAACATCGTATTATGAATTTTACTTCAAAATTAATTTAGGACTTTTGAAATTCATAATAATACAAAATTTTATTTGATCAGTGGTCTCTCAGTTATTTTATTTTTTAATTTTTTTTCGTACAAAGTCTTAAAGTTTGACTATTTGACTTGTCAAATTGTCAAATTACATGAAATTGACAAATCAACTTATCAAATTTAATTTAAAACTTTATAGTGATTGAGAAAAATATTTAAAGCTCAATTAATGATATGGTTTGAAACAAACTTTAAAATTACCTTAGACTAACTGAAGCCAGACCAACAAAATAAAGGGAAATATTATGATGCTGTTACGGAAATATAACCGTTAAATCATCATGTAATCATCGGGATAGTTGATCTAACGATTGCAAACCTGACCAAATAGTTATGTAACGTGACCGTAACATCTTCTCAAAATAAAATATGACATACAAAACAATTTTAATTAATTGATTGTTTTTTTTTATCCCCCTATGATATCCTCCATCCAATAGGAAAATGTATGCACCATCCCACACAAATTACAGTACACCCTCATCTTTCACCGTTCATTTTTCCCGTGGGCCTACAGACTCAAAAACCCTAATCGAAAACGTCCGGCGTCATCTGCTATATATATATAATCCACTGTCCTTCCTTCATCTTCACTCTCACCAAGGGGGCGGCTAACCAGAACACAGAAACCCTAATTTCAGTGTAAGCAATTGCTAAATCAGACTTTCCGATTCGATTCGATTCGATTCGATTCAATTCCATTTCGTGTTGAAAAGTTCTTTGGTCTATAATTAATTTGCCCATCGTTTTTTTGTGTGCTTGCAGAAGGTGAGTAACAATGGCGGTGCCTCTTCTCGACAAGAAAATCGTCAAGAAAAGAGTGAAGAAATTCAAGAGGCCGCAGAGCGACCGGTTTGTTTCTGTCAAGGTAAATCTAATCTCATCTGATCTTTTTTGCTTTGTATTTTTTTTGGTCCTTTATCCTCTTGAAATGGCGTGATTATTACCTGAGATATAGTTTGTGAGGAAGATGATGATGGTAATTTTTGTCGCCCCAGGCTTAATTTGCATCTAACATGAGATGCAATGTGGTGATTGACATTTTATCTGATTCCTCTAGCAATTGTTTATTTAGTAATGAATTCAAGTTTTTTGCTACTTGTTTTGTGCTTAATTGATATTTTAGATGATTGAATATAGTTCTCTGTAACTTGGATATGCAAGGAAGGTGTGATGATATTAACCCAAACCACTTGTTCTGTAATTGATGATGATTATAGATTCATGCACTACCATCTGATCTTCCTTGCTTCATTTTTATACCTTATAGATGTAGTAATAATTTCTCTTTAATTATGCTTGAAATCTGGTTGTGCAATCTGTGATGCAATTTGTCAATATTGCTGATTTTTCCAGTGATTATCACAATCTAAATCACCATCTTTCGGCTGAGATTGCTGGCAGATATAGTGTGTGTGTGTGTATGTGTGTTTAGTTTTAAGTTGGTCTTTTTACAATGTGCAAAAGAATTATGCCCATGGTATCTAATGTCCAGGATTTTATTGGGTTTCTGGGCGTTTCGTTTCAGGGCAAATATAAAACTCAGAAACAGGCCTTGCGACACGGATAGCTTCACTTTCTATAAGCTTTCTGTTACTATAATCCTGCTCACAAATCAAAAAAATAAAAAAGTTGGGATTTTTAGTTGTGTTTGATTAAATTTTGCAGTGTTCTCTTCTCGTTCAATGACATGTTCGAGTCAGAACAATTATTTTGAATGTTGAACAGCTTAACTAATTGTTTATGTCTGTTATGTATGTATTTCACAGGAAAACTGGCGTAGGCCAAAAGGTATCGATTCTCGGGTCAGGAGAAAGTTCAAGGGGTCCACATTGATGCCCAACATTGGATACGGGTCGGACAAGAAAACCCGGCATTATCTTCCGAATGGCTTCAAGAAGTTTCTTGTTCACAATGTGAAGGAGCTCGAGCTGCTGCTTATGCACAACAGGTTACTTTACGATCCCTTTACGAACACTTTCTTGTTTGATGTCTAATGAAATGAAGTTCGACTCGTATTTTAATATATTGAAAATAGCTGAACAGGTTATTATTATCTCTATACGAAATAAAGTTTGAATTGTATTTTAATATTTTTAAAATTGCTGGATCAGGACTTACTGTGCTGAAATTGCTCACAATATATCTACAAGAAAGAGGAAAGAGATTGTTGAGCGTGCAGCTCAGCTTGATGTTGCTGTCACTAACAAGCTCGCCAGGCTTCGTAGCCAAGAAGATGAATGAGCTATTTTTTCCTGTTGTTTTTTGTTTTATTTGCTGGACGATATATTCGAAGCTTGAAATCTATGTGAGAGATATTTTTATGACGATCCTTGCCGTTGGATGTTGTTATATTTTGTTGGACACATTTGAGGTGGTTTTGTTTTTACATTTATTTGGTAGCTAGACTATGCACACATTTTAGGGTTCATTTTCTTGTTATGTTGAATTTTTTGCTCTTGTGAAAATGGGATCACTCTTAATGAGCTACAATTATCCACAAATTCCTCTTTATATATTAATTCAAAACTTGTTAAGCCTAGATGTCAGATTTTCATGTTTCGGATGTTGACATGACGAAAATCAATGCTTCGTGATTTTATTTTTATATTATTTTTGTTTTGGAGTTAGGTTTTGTATTGTACATAAATAATTTTACATATATATTCATTAACTCAACACTTGTGTTGTACATAGGTATTAGTACTAGTGATTTTTTATTTTTGGAATATAGTAAATTTAAAGTGGGAAGTATGTAAATTAAAATATAGGGAAACACTACAATGCCGTGAGGGAATGATTCCCTCAAATCAATATAAACCATTAGATGTGTTAGTTTTTATATGGACTCTTGATGTGGTAGTTTTTATATGGACTCTTACATGTGTTAGTTTTTTATTGGAGTTTGATATGAGGGAATGGTCCGTTACGGGATTGTAGTATTTTCCTAAAATATAACGTAATAAAAGAATGTAACGATTTAAAATGAAATTGTGTACATTACTTTGCTTATTCATTCCTTGGAACATGAAATAGGACAAGCACCTTATTTAATAAATCATTCTAGGGGGCAAAGCATAGCTTTCAAATCCGGCCAGGTAACCGACCTGGTAATCGACTCGGGTAGGTCTCTGGGTCATGGTTCAACCATTGAGTCACTGGGTCAATTGTTGAACCGAATAATTAATTTTAAATTTCAAATTATGTATAGAATATTTTTGTCATATAAATATACATAAAAGTAACAAATATCAAAATTGTTCAAAATTTTTCATTTTCTTTCGACTTTCTTGCTTTCGTTGTGCATCAACATGCCCTTTTTAATGCCATAATGATCTCATTACTTCATTGTACAAAAAAAAAGGAAGTAATATTCTGCAAAAATAGTATTCAAATATCAAAACTCACAGGATGAAGGAGGATATTATCTTTTCCTGCCCTGAACACAAAGCATCACCCTTTCACAACCCCACAGAAAAAAAAACTTTTGGATCATTCAACATTGCAAGAAAAGAACCTAAAACCTCAACACTTATAAGTTATAAACACTCTTCAAATCGGCGAAAGAGCACGAAAAAACGTGAAAAAAAAACCTCCATCGAAATTCGCCTTTCGGCAAAAAAAAAAAGAAAAAAAAAGATGGCTGGAGAGAATCTAAAACCCATAGCTGGGCTACTTTTGGTTCTGAACTTCTGCATGTACACAATAGTTTTGGGTATTGGCAGCTGGGCGATCAACCGAGCCATTAACCATGGTTTCATTATCGGTACATATCAGCTTTTCTTTTTCGCGTTTTCTTGATTTGTGCATGATACTACATGCATTTTCCTATTAACCCGAGCGTGTTAATCTTGAAAACACGAAAAATTTGATTTTTTTCTTTTTTTCCAATTTTTTGTAATTATTGTTCTTTATTTTTGTCCAGGTCCGGGATTTGATCTGCCGGAGCATTTTTCGCCCATACATTTTCCGATGGGTAATGCAGCGACCGGATTTTTCGTGTTATATGCACTTATAGCTGGCGTGGTTGGGGTGGCATCGGCAATTTCGGGTTTGAATCATATTCGGCATTGGGATCGTGAAAGTTTGCCTGCTGCCACATCAGCTGCCAACATGGCATGGAGCCTTACTCTTTTGGCCATGGGGTAAAAATTATAAAAATTACTTGTTCTTACATATTTAGTAGAAGTACAGAACTGCCCCCTAATGTTTAGCTTATTTACCAAAGGCTTCATTTTCGTTCACTCAACTGTTCGAAAACTAGAGGAGTATTTGTAGTTCTGAAAACTTCAGGGGCCATTTTGTTGTAAACTATATTTCTGATTAAGTTTACACTGAAATCTGAATAACTTACTTGTTTTTGAAGGTTTGCTTGGAAAGAAATCAATTTGTACAGCAGAAATGCTCGTCTGGTGAGCTTAACACAATCTTCTATCTGTCGACTGAATTTTCCGATAAACTATATGTAACTTTTTACTTCTTTTTCTTAAATGTTGTGCAGAGAACAATGGAAGCATTCATTATAATTCTTTCTGCAACTCAATTATTATACATAGCAGCCATTTATGGTGCTTCATCGAGGAGAAGAACCTGAGATGATTCATATGAAAATCTTGAAAAAATTGTCAGAGTTATTGTGTGTGTGTTTGTGTTGAGTTTCTTTGTACTATTAAATTTCATTTGCTAATCTGTTTTCTTTGTTCATGTAAATTCCAAATGTTTTGGGATTATTATTGTAGGATATTGTTCTGTGTGAAATTGAATCTGATTGCTTTTGCAGAGAACTGTGAAAACCCAACAGAAAAAAGGGAAAATGATAGTATATAATTAGATAAACTACTAAACTAGCAGCCGAATTCACGATTTTTATCAAGCAGCATTGCCAAATCTAAAGAGACAATTGCATAAATACTCCGGCATTCTTTAACAGTCGCACCTCAAAAATCGAAGAGTAGACAAATACGATACGAACTAAACAAATACCAACAGTAACTCCACGAAATCAGCCAATTCGCTTCTCTATTGAATTCTTCTACAGCAGCTCGACTGAAATCAAATCACGTCCCCTACAGTAACATGGCAAATAAATTTGAACCCGATTCAGTATGATGTAATAGATTAAAATGGAAATATTAAATACACTACCAATGAACTGCAAATTAGTTTACGTATCGTGTGTTTAAATGGCAAAACTCTGTAAATTCGCGGTACTAAAAAAATATATATATATCCAGCTCCAAATATATTATTGTGTTTTTACCAGCCAAAAACACAGAGTCTAAATCGTAAAATAAAATTTCAGAATCACAAACAAAGTAAAAAAACATGTTTCAATGTATACATATCAAACCTTGCCGAATCCAAGAATAGAAACCACACTTTTTGTGTATACAATCACGAACAAGCAAAATTATTAAATTCACTCGAAACATTTGGCAGAAAGAAAGTAACCTTTTCGAATTATCTTCCAGACCCTGAAAACACTTCAAACAGTCCACAACAACTTTTCCATGATGTCTTTTGCACTGGAGATTGAACAGGAACAAGCAAAGGCTGCATAATTTTTTTTTCCCGGAGAAACAAGTAAAAACATACAGATAAGGCCAATATGATATATAACACATTAAAAAGAAACAAAAAAAAAAAAAAAAGAGAAAACAAGAGTACACCTGAGTCACTGCAGAACCTTTCTCATTTTCAGATTCTTTATCAGCTGTATCTATCGGAGCATTATGAGGAAAAACAGTAGAGATCTTCTCAACCGATTGATCAATTAACGATGCACTGATTTTATCTTCAGCAGAGGCAACTTTCACTTGCTCATCCAACAGCTGAACTTTCTCCGAGTGAACAGATGGTATAATCTTCACCTCCTCAACATTTACACTGTGAATAGCCTCGGTTCTTTTCCCGGATAAAGGCTCAGCTACCTTAACAGAACCAAAAACAAAAGACGAATCATCCTCCGCAGCTAGACCATTGTTGTGACCACGAACCTCATCATCCGAACTGCTCCCACTGCTAGTCGAGCTTCCTCCACTGTGAGATTTCCCAGTTTCAATCTCATCGTGCCCCATCTTTAACTCTCTTTCAACCTGAACGGCTTTCTCGTTCTCTTCTCGCTTAACCTCGGTTGACGGGTTGTGGGCCTTTAGGTTGCTGTGAAGGTCCTGCGATGCAGGTGAGCTAATCTCACTAACATCGCTATCTCTTTCTTCATTGTGCTTCACCACACCCTCTTCACCTACCCCATATTTCGATTTATTTCAGACCCATTAAATGCCAAATCAAAATCAGAAATTAGTCACCTCATTTACGAAACCAAAGGGTACTAAAGTCCAAATACATATCAAGTAAGTACAAAATCAGCGCCATAGATAACAAAAAACTCAGAACTCAAATCTTAACAATCAACAAGATGTAAAGATTCAAACTTTCTGCGCTTTCGAAGCATTATTTCATTACCCTTTACCAAAAACGCGCAGATAATAATCAAACTACACGCTAACAAGTAATCAAAGCCCAAATTTCCGATAATTTGAAAAAAACCCAATAAAAGAAAAGCAGAATCATAAGAAGAACAGCTGCAGAGTTCAACATAAAAATGAAAGGACAAACTGGGCCGTACATAATAGCTTCGAAATCAGCCATGAAAATCGAAAACCCTTCTCGCCATAGTTAAACAGAGCATAAAAAGATTCGTACCAAATGGGCGAGCAGAATCAGATTGAATATACATCTTCTTCTTGGCAGATTTTCGCTTCTTTGAACCTTTAGGCATGATGATTACTTGGTTTGAAACACTTGAGTATTTCAAATGGCACGGATTAATCGAGTCCCGTTTGCTGAAATCTCTCGATTCTCTCTCTCTCTCTTACCGAGTTTCTCTCACTACTCTCTGTAGCTTGGCTGCTGTCAAATGCAAGTGAAAAATGAGGTATTTGGTTGGTGACTTTGTGGAGTTCCTAAAAATGATTTATTTATATAAGACAAAACAAAGGGCAAAATGGTATCATTATTTTTTTTTCAAAAAAAAAAATTTTAGATAAATAATAAATATAAATATTAAATAAAATATTGGAGATTCTACGGTCCCCCGTTACGGAGTCATTCTGTCGGGATTTGTAACCGTGAGATCAACTATCTACGACAGTTACATGATGATTTAACGGTTACAAATCAATTGAACTATTCCGTAACAAGACTGTAGCATTTTCCTTATTTATAACCCTATACATGGTAGGGTGATAATTTTTTTCGTTTTGGATGCTATAATAAGGTTAATAAATTTTTTATCTAGTGAATGATATTTGAAATAGGCAAAAAGAGTTGTAAATTTTGGGTCGAAGAAAAAAATGGTATAAGTACTAAGGATTGGATCCATAGTTACTAAATTCTATATATATAAATTATAGATTTAAATTGATGTGAATTCTAATTTAAGGTTGCAAAATAACATTATTCACATTATATGCAAAAATAAAAAATAATGAAAAAAAAACAATAAAATTAATTTGTGTATTGTGATCTGAATCGTTAGATAGGTCAACTCGAAATCTTATTACGCTCGAGTGAGTCATTTGAATTTGTATTAACAAGCAATCAACTCAAAATCTTATTAGGCTCGAGTGAGTCATTTGAATTTGTGTTAACAAGCAACCATCGTTTGATTGGTTTATATTTTAAAAATAAAATTATGTACATATATATATATATATTTATGTTGCAAGATTTTTATGACAAAATATAGATGTAAAATCAATGTATAGATTACTATTTTTATTGTTAATATGTATGTAAATGTGTTTGAAGTTCTTGTTTATATGCCTAGAAAAAAAAAAGTCCCATGGATAATATCATTTTTATGCTTTATTTGCAATTATAAACCTATTTCATATTTTCTTATAATAATAAAAAATTCAAATGATTTAACAACCATATAAAGGTGAATGTTTTATCATTTATTGTGAAGGAAATTGACAGTTAGAAGAAGTGGTGTGCAAAATGCCATGTAATTGTATATAAGACTTTTCATTTTTGTATAACTAATTTAAGTGTATTTGCAATTAATAATCCTAGTAACTTCTGGAAACAGATAGCACAATCAATAATATTCAGAGTATTAATCAATTGTACAATACATCAATGCGTAATATTCAGAGTGTTAATTAAAGAGTTCAATAAATAAATAATATTCATCAGAGTATTATTAATCAACTGTACAATACATCAATGCGTAATATTCAGAGTAATAATTAAAGAGTTCAATAATAACCCCACTTAAATAATACTTATTTCACTAAATTGTGATGATTTTTGGCCTTCTGCATTTTAGTAACTATCGTTGTTCTTTTATGGTTAGTTCGTGTATTTAAGTTGTAACGTCCATTATATTCGTTTTATGTGAATTATTTGTTCAATGTTATATTTCACTAGTAATCATAATGCGGATTAAATTAAATACTATAAGTTATGTATATGCGAATATAATATTAAAAAATAAAAATTAAATAATGTATGTACTACGTCGAGATTTGATCATTACTAAAAAAGTAAAATAAATTATTTAAGTATATATGAATTAATTGAAAAAAATGTTTCTCATGATTGTAATTTTTATAATTTTAAGAGATCATGATCAATTAATTTAGTTAAAAAAGTATTATTATATATCATTATTATTATTCTATATAATGAATAAATATAAATGATTATAGTTTTAGCATTTTAAAATTTTAATTTGTCTAAATATTTAATTAAGCATGTTTTTATTGCCACTTTGCAAAATAATTATTAGCATATGACACCAGGCGCCTTTTATAACACTCGTCCTTTATGCTTTTGCTTTTTTTTTT